TATTAATAAATTTGAATGACTGACCTTATATAGTACATTAATAATGATGATTAACAGATGGTTCACAGAAACAATGTGACCTGTCACTCGAACAACAATTTCGTGATTTGGAATGGAATATGTATATTTGACAAGTCACGATCACAGTTTTTCACATTTTATTTGAAATACAGTACTCTGTTAATAGGATACATTGCTAATAAGAAAAGCTATGAATCAAAACTATGTAATCAGTATTTGATTAATCAATTTTTATCATTTTCTTTTGAATGAAATCATGCTTTATATTTATTGAACTTATCACAGAAGAAATGTCCTAAGTTTCATAGTCTGCAAAATTTTGTTTTTAAACACAAATTCGTGATGATCAACAAATTTGAATAATATGAATACGTAACAAACAGATTGCTATGCTTGTCAAAAACGTGTTTTAACATCAAAATGCTTGTACAAATTCACATTAGAGTCGTCAAGCTTTTTTGATCTGAACATTTTAAAATACAAATATATTTTTGTTTAATAAATAATTATCATTTATATACGGCATCTGCACAATTATGAAATAGCGGTAGAGAATACCAGCAATTTCAATTTTATTTCGCCAGAAAATGATTACTGAACATGGCAGTGTTCTTTCAGGGTATAATCCTCTCAGTGTTAATATAGATGACCCTTTAACACTCGTTATCGTACAGGTAAAACTTTCAATTTTGTTCTTAAACTTATTTGTTTTTACGGAATAATATGGAATCGCCCGAAATGTATCTAGATTTGTTTACATATAAGTCTGCAGGTCGTAATGAGCATTTTATAGTAGCTATGATGTAATTTTGTGGGAAATGGTATTAAAAATATCATTGTATTGAAAGATTTCCCAGAGCCCATTTTATTTCCATATGCACTAGTTTAAGAGCGATTTTTAAAATGGTTGTTGTCTAGATCGAATCAAATCCTTAAAGTCTAAGTTTGTGATTTTTACCCAATAATATACGTATTCGTAACAGATTATTCTTATAGTAGTTTCTACATACACTCTACACCTTGGCCTTGAGCGTATTTGCCGGTACATTGGTCTTGGACATATTCGTCTGCCACGAGCCATATCTGAAATAATAAGCGGAATTATTCTTGGTCCTTCTGTATTAGGAAATATTCCGGGATACCTAGAAATCTTGTTTCCAGAAGATTCCCTACCCTATACTAGGCTTCTGGCTGACATTGGTTTGGTCCTATATTTATTTTTGGTTGGTGTAGAATTGAATCCAAAAATTATATACAGTAATTTAAAGTTATTTGTTTCTATCTCCACGAGCGGTATAATATTACCTTTTACAATGGGTGTAGGTGTTGCATATGTCTTGTATTATGCAATGGATGATAGCAATAATGGTTCATTTGCGAGTTTTGTATTATTTATTTGCACTACTATAGCTATTACAGTAAGGGAGCTCGTCTATTAATTATCTAAAATTTGCATATCTATATAAACATCAACATGATTATTAATTTATATTAAAATTATAGGCTTTCCCAGTTCTTGCGCGTATCTCATCAGAGTTGAAAATTTTAAGAACTCCCGTAGGAATCAGTGCACTAACTTCTGCTGTTAGTAACAATATTGCCGCTTGGACTCTACTTGCCTTAGCCATTTTAATAAACAATGCCCAGAACTATTCAATGGCTCTATACCCTTTCTTACTCTGTGCTGCCTGGACTTTAATCGTTGGATTCGTTATTCGTCCAATCTTACTAAAGCTTATCATCATGACAAATTCAAATAATCTAACTCCGTCAATTTTAATGATTGCTATTACTCTAACGACCGTTTTGATATCAGCATTTATTACAAGTATCATCGGAACTCATTATGCCATTGGAGGTTTCATTATTGGGTTGATTATTCCTCACGGAGACTTTGCACTTGCAATCACTGAAAGGATTGAGGACTTGACTAAT